ACATTTCCTCTCTAACTTGCTTTCTCTATTAGCACATCGTCGTCTAAACACAGAGAACAGCAGCCTGGGTGTTCTCCCATGGTGGTATCTGAAAGATCTGTCATCCATACCCACTGTCTCATCAGGAGAGGTTGTAAGGCCTGGTTCACACTGCAGGATCTGGTTACTATCCATTCCTCAGCACCATTACATCTGCTAGTTAGACATAATCAGAAGTTTGGGGTAGCTACCAGCCAGGAAATTCAACTCCAAGTTTTGCATATTCTCTTGTGTTTTCATCCCAACAAACCCTGCACCCTTTTACAATAAGCACTTCCTTGCTGAAGAGAATAGCCCATGCCTTGGTGTTACAGCAGAAATTAACTTTCACTAGGGACTACTGCTGACCTTCTCCTGCTCTCATTCCCTGAGCCTAGGAACAACAATGCTACAGAAAGTGGCTGCCACCTTGAAGGCTCTGAATATCACTGCTTTCAGCTTTTCGTAACACACATCCTCATATGAGCAAGTAATTGATGAAGTCTCTCAACACCCAGAAGGTCTGTATGATTTTGCAGATGGATAAACTGCAATGAAGTGAGAAGTTCAGCAGTTGGTTCTGCTGCCTTCCTTGTTGATGGCAGTATTCCCAATGGGTATGAGTGAGATCGGGATCATAGAATCATTAAGGTTGGAAAGGACCACAACCAGCCCAACCATCAACCCATTGCCACATGCCATAGCAAGAGGCAGTGTCACTTTGCAAGTAAGCAGCAGCTGCATGGAAAATCTTGCTCTCACTCACAACTGTTGTGACCTTTGCCTCCACAAGCTGGAGCCTCGTAAATTACGTTGTGCTTAAGCTCTTCAATGTACTGGAAGAAATGTGACTTCTTATAGTAGATATATTGATCCAGAGGCTTACAAATATGAATGATTGCATTCATCTCATTAATTGTCTGTTATCATCTATTACATGGGATTGTTCCATTTTAAGTTATGTAATTCCTTGATCACTTAACACGTTAAGTGTGAAATGGAAATGACCTCAGAACTACTTGATGTCTTTCCTGCCATTTCTTATCAGACCTTAATTCCATCAGTCAGCTCTGTAAATTAAAATTAATCTGCTGAAGGCCTGAAAAAGATGGCACCGTGTCAGGAAATGAAAGATTGAACGCATTACATAAAAACAAGTTGGAATGCTCATCAATCTCCCACACAAGTCTAGAGAGATTCTCGCTGCTTGGATTTTCTTCTCAACAGTTCTCATCTGAAGCTCAAAACTCTTCCAAGGGAGGGAGTGAATCCCCTCCTGGCATCACAAAAGCCACCTGCAAGTAGACCAAAGATGTTCAATACTTTTTCTAATTCTGTGACGAGATAAGTGCATCAATGAAGTACTTTATGCCTCTCGCACTCCTTTGATGACTGAATTAGCTAAATGAAATTGAAATGAAGAGTGATTTAAAATGGGCTGTAATGAGGAATGAGTTTAACTGGATATATGCTGCATTCCCAACAATTGACAGGAAATAGATTAGGTTTAGCAATGCAATGGTTTTAAAGGATGTGACTGGCATATAGAGAAGGGAAAGCGGTCCCCTTTGATCTTAGCAAGAGTGGTATTCCTTTAGACATGATCTAATCCCAATAAATATGCAGCAAAAGACTCATATTATGGTGCTTTTTTTTCTTTTTGCCCCCCTTACAAAACAAGTTAGTCCAAGCTGAGTTACTGTGGTTTGCATTAGAAGTTTTAATTCATATTGCTACACAGACTCTGAAATGTAGAACTTTCTGGATTTTGAGAGAATAGTGATAAACTATTGTGAAACTGAACTTGCAGTACAGGAACAAAAATACAGCTGAAGTTTGATGGAAATCACCTCCTGAAATCCAGCTTCTGAGAACACTTGTGTCCAAGCACAGGTACCCTGGCCATGGTAGGTCTAAGAACCTGGAGAACTGGCATTGCCCCTTCATTATCATACTCGTGCAACACAGGCTCTGTGTGTATAAAGCTCATGGAAATTGTTACCTTCCAGGTTTGGCAGGCTTTGATGAGTGCAGATCATCCCTGCAAGCAGATCGAGGTAGAGGAAGATCAGAGTGGAGACTTAGCTGGATCAGGACAGCCTGCCATCAACTTAATCTGTCATACAACCCGGGTAAGCAGCAGAGTTAAGACCCATACTGTGAAGACTGCACTCTTTATGACTACAGGTTTACTCACATTTCACATACTCAAAAAGAACTCAAGTGACTGTCCACTAGTGGTGAATCATCCGCATCTCTCTATGGCCCATGGTTACTTTTCTTCCCACCCTCAGGCACTGCTGCTGTGGGATGAGTCAGGGATGTTCTCATAGCACTGAACGGAACAGGATATTCTATGAAACCCAGCAGGCTTCACAAGATCAGTGCCTTTAACTCCCCAGAGCCTCAGTGCACAGTGGAGATCAGTGGTCTGACACTAATGTTGACAGGTTGCAAAAATATCCAAAGTGCATTCAGTGACAGTGCCCCAAATCTTTGCAAATGAGCATTCAGTTTCCCAGGTTATTTTCCCACGTTATATTGCCTCATTCTGCTATGGATATTAATGGCTGGTTTGGTTTGCTATTTAGCAACTGGCTTCCTTTTAAATGAAAGCTCATTCCCCTTACCTGAATGCTTCCATAGTTTCTGCTATGCTGAAAGGTTAAACAGAGCTCATTATCCATTTCCAGCAGAGATCTAATTTCTACAAAAGGCCTTGATCAGGACAATACAATTGGCAAGAAAGAGAACAGGATTACAAAGAGCTGTTTTCACACTTAGCCAAATACCAGGAAGCACAGAGACCATTAAAAATGATGCTCTGCATAAGTGTCAGCAGCTCAGCAGAACCTTCAACCTTTTTTGGTTTTCTGTTATTGTCCCATCTACCCCATTAAGGATGACATTCTCTAACGGCACCCCACACGTCAACTCATCAAGCATCTCAGAGTACAGGATGTACAAGAATACAGAGTAAAAGATGGTACAAGTCATAGGCAGATAGCAATTTCCTATGGTCTGGTCATCAGATGCATTTTGTCCTTCAGCCAATGATCAGCACTAGCAGGTGCATCCTCGTGCATGTCCAGACTGCTTTGTGCAGGAGACTTGGTGAGAGACCTCTCATAGTCACCTCCAGACTATCCAGTGCTATTAAATACATGCCCTCATCAGTGGTCTGAAATTAAGGGTTGGCAGTACATAGGCTGTCACGTCCAGCACTGGTCACATGTATGTATTTAAAAATTGAAAAGAAAGTGCTGAGTAGAGACTAGACATTATCAGTACAGGAAGATGTGCATGGCAAACTTGCATCCAGACCAAGATTTCTCAGTGTAGGTCCTTGGATGAAAGTACCTGACAGGTGCAGAGAGGACGTGCTGGAAGCAAAGACTGAAGACAGAAGAGAGTACTGTATTGATTCATGGACCATAACAGGAGAAACCAGTGGTCCAGAAAACCACAAAAGACCACCTGCAGTTATCGCCACCCTCCTTCCTTAAAGAGGCTCAAAAGAACTAGTAACAGAAGCAGAAATGCATCCAGAGCTCTAGCTACTTTTTACATTATACTTTAAATTGAATATGTTGCAGCAATGACACAAAATGGAGTTTCTGCCCTCCTTACTAGAAGGTTGATAAACTGTAAAAATAAATTGAGAAGAGTATGGCAGCTGTGCCTGTACTAAGACAGCTGAACTGCTAACAGCAGCAAATGTGGAGAGAGAAAGGCTGAGGATATGACATTCATTCCAAACCATCTCACAGAGGGTCCTATTTCAGACTAGCTCTTGCCTTACTTTTTGTATCAAATGCCCCTTGGTGGTTGCTCCTCTCAGTTAGCATCCTCGTAAAGAAAAGCAGCTGATATGCTCAGAGTTCATTCCAAGGCGTGAAACAATGCACACTTAAACAAGGACAAGCAAAGAAAAACCATGCAGACTTCTGCTAGAATCCTCTTAATGTAAATTACTTCTATAGAAGTCACTTCTTGGTTTTTCTGCAGAGAAAGAATTGTCCTTTTCCTAGATTGTAAGAAGATATAGGTAAGCACCAAAAAGGCTCAGGTCTGATAGCATTTTGCATAGCCCAGTGTCAAGAAGTGTGTCAATACATACAAAATGTAATAACCAATATTTATCAGCTTGTATCCTGCTGCCTTTTACTCGCTTCCACAGTGTTGTTTTAGATGTTTTACCAAAGATACAAAAGTCAAAAAGACTTAAGTTACACTCAAATCCCCACACAGATCTCAAAGAGAAAGATTTCATCAGTGTCTACTGTTCCAATCGAAAATAAGCACACAGCTCAGTGTTAGAAGATCTATAATTCAGGAAAGGAAGAGAGAGAGTTGAACTAAGACTTCAATTATAACTACTTTATCTAGAAGAGTATTTTATTTTTGCTTTAATATAGGAAGATATTAGCTCTTCAAACACTGTTTCCCCTTCCATATGGCAGTGGCATTATTGTAGTAAAGCATCAAACTTCTTATTCTGTGGAAGTCAGTAATTTCACACTGGAATGCCTCTATCTTTAATCTTCTTTCCTGATTAGAAGGTGACAGTGCTGCAAAAGGCAAAATACTGCTGCTAAGCAAACTCATGTACATGAAAGGGAGTTCTGGACTTAGCAGGTCCAAGAAGATACTGGCCATCACCAATGCATCTCTGAAGATGTTGAGGCCCCCAGATCTCCCACTTGTGCCCCTTCTGCCAGCACCCCACTGCAAAGGGCCCACACATGGCTTTCAGCAGCACCCATGTCACCTCCCTGAGCTCTCCACACAGTCCACTCTCTCCATCCAGCATCTACACAGGATAAGTTAACAGAAGACCAAGTACCATGCTGTAACTCACCATGTTTAAGATCAATTATTTATACTAACATAGTTAAACTATTACGCTTTAGGTCACTTCATATTTTATGTTTAAAAAAAAAAAGTGTCAGCAGTTCATTAAGAAAATAATAACAAGAGACTTTTTGTATCTACCAATACCTATATTTTAAAACTTGGAGTAAGATTTACTGAGGCTTTGTAATATAAAAAGTCTTTCATGATCTCAAGTGAAGCTGCAGTAATTTTTTTCAGGAAAATTACCCACATCACCAGAATAAAAAAAACACCGACTTTAAATTTCTAGATAAATGGCTGTCTTGAAATGCTCCACTTCTGGGGTTCAGGAAGATCTTGATGAGCACCTCCAGTCCTCTAGGCAGGAACACTGGCTGCAAGTGTACTGTATCAATCCTGATGCTGATGCAGTTAGTCATCCTCTGAGTCACTCTCTCCCCTGGTTTGGACGCATGCCCTTATGGAGGACATGAGCTGGTCCTGGATCTGTTTCCTGGGGTTCTCCTCAAGGTCTGTCTTGATGGCACCTGACTCTGAGATCTTCCACTCCAGTTCTACACAGAGCAAAATAAGAGTGTCATGAATAAGGGGAAGCAGACTAGGCTGTTTTCTCTCTCTGACTCCTTTTGATATTTGCTGATTTATTTACTTCAACACGCAGCTCCTCACCTTTCTGATTTTCTCTCAAAAGGGAAAAGGACCTCAGATCTTGACAATTCTCAGTTCTTCCCACCTTGTTTCCCCAGCTGGCTTCTCTTGCCACACTATCATGAACATCAACAAAATCAGGGCCATACTCTATCCCTCCCCTGTCACCCCATCTCAGCTCCCCTGCCCTGTCCCTCACCCCACTCCAGCCAAGTCCTCTCTTCAAGATTAGGAGTGTTGACTCAGATCTCAGCCCAGGGCACAGAGCCACCAAAGTGGTCATCTGCAGAGCAGTACTCTGAGCCTGCAATGTCATTCCTTGTGCCTCCTGGCTCCCTTTACTACAGGGAATGTCAGAGAGAATGGACACAGAGCAGCAGCTTTGCATAAGGCAACTTCCCTGTTGAAAGAACACAACCTCCTTCTATCCACTTAAGGAGAGAAATCAGGTTTGAACATTCACTGCTGAGAGATTACAGCTATTTGCATCAAACAGCAAGCTCAGCACAGTCAGAAGAGGCAGGAATAGCTACATTTCTTTAACCACTCAGGCTATTCCATCAACATACCTGAATTGTAAAGTATATCCCTGAAAAATACTTATGTAAGTGCAATTCACCCCTTTCCAGCTACTCCTTGCACTGATTATTAGTTCATTTGGAAGACAGTGGGGGAAAAAAAAAAAAAAAAACAACAACTCCCCATCAGTAGTGTGCCTGTTACTAAATAGACCCAAATTGGATTGCTTCCCAGAAGCAGAGGAAAGTCAATACACCACACTCAGTTGAAACCTTTCTCCTAGT